GGCAAAAGTGACGTTTTCAAACAAAATTTCGCTCCGCAGGTTTTCAAACCACTTTCGCAATCTGTAAATGTATATAGTCTGATATGAATACTGTGATACTCACATCATCACAATCGCCAGCGGCTTTTTACCGGCTAGACATAATTTCGGCCCCCGATGTTATGATAATTTATTTATCTGCTATAATTTATGACTTAGACCATGCATCTTCCTTGATACACCTATCCTTCCATGATGGGATAGGTTTAAATCGGATCCGGGAGAATTTCCAGAAATATATTACGCTGAGAGCTAAGCTAGTCAGGAATTACGAAGGATGCACTGAATTTAAGTCGAAGGCTATCTAAGGGCATCCTATGGCTTCCATGCATGTATGACTCGTGTCTGATGATCACCGGGTAGGCCAACCCACACTGTCAACATTTCTTGTGGGAGGAAACCGGAGTACCCTGAGAAAACTCACAACTTTCAGCAGAGCGTTGTCTTAGCTTTTGTCACACTAACGATAACGATACGATAACTTGTGTACGCGCGCTGATCGGTCAAAAAATTTATCGCTTATCGTTAAGGCCCACACAGACCGGACGCGATTTGGCAACGCGACGCGAATTTTCAATTTTCAATGACATTTAACTTTAATATTTTTCTATGTTTTTCGAATATTCGGAACCACTTAAGTAATTTTAGCTATTTGGTCTGCATATCTTGTAAAATTTTTATCCCGGCGTCAACTGTTTTATTTGTTTTTAAAAACTGAAAATTCGCTTCGCGTTGCCGATCGCATTCGGTTTGTATGGGCCTTTATCGTCCGACTGAAAAAAATCGCTTCATCGTCAAACGATAATTTTATTAAAACTATGGCAATTGATACCCCAGGCGGAAATAGTAGTTTAAAGATAAGGAGCAGACTAGCCGAGCCCAGAAAATAACTTTAAGACCAAACATAACAAAAGTAAAAAAAATTATTAGCTAACGTTTCGTTGTTTACAATACAACATCTTAATTGATAATTTTATTGTCAGTTGTAGTGTGGACACCAACATAATTTTTTTGCCCAATCATCGCGTGTTTACAAGTTATCATATCATGATTTTTTCTGTGTTGCTGTGCCGGAATATGATGCTTGTGATGTTACTCTAGTATTTCGGCTAGTATTCCAAAGCCAAAGGTCGTAGGTTCGATTCCCACCGTGGCCAGGCATAGTTATGAGTTATCGTATCGTTTTCGTTGACATTGTGTAGTGTGACCTGGGCTTAACTCTTTCTATAAGTGTCAGGAGTCCAGAACGAGAATGATGAAACGTGCTCGCTCGCCAGGGTCTGGTCGCTCCTAAAACTAACAAGATTTCCAAATAGGAGTAACCAAATCTTGTGAAAAGATGAACCGGGCTGTTTAGTGTAAACACTTTCACATAAGTGTCAGGAGTCGCCGCGAGAATCGAAGATAAAAGATGCTTTCTCTTGCACGTCAGGGTCTGGTCGCTCCCAAAATAATAAGATTTCCATGTATAGGCGTATAAGCAAATCTTGTTAAGAGACAATTTAATCTCCCGGCGTTGGTCATTTTCTGAATTGGAACGGTCACCTTTGTCTCAAAGTAGGAAATGCTAAAAAGCTGTTGTGATCTACAAACAATTCTGGCGATCAAAATTTGTGAGGATATTGTTTGATATCGCGAACTTTTGCAACATGAGCCAAAAATGATCAAATGTATGACAACCTTTTTGCAAATGACGGGTGATTGCAGCTATAGACTAAATTTTGATCAAGGCAAGAAGAACGAAACCATTACCATAGCCGGAAAGAGCATCTTAAAATGAGTAAAACTGCAAAGTTTGGTTGCTAAATGTTGTAAAATGAAGAAAATATAGGCTATATGGCCCTGTGAAGTTCGCCGCAAATTTTGTATGTATTTGTATTACGCGCGGTAAAAATAACCACTTTCGGCTCAAAAATGGTTATTTTTCCTGCGCGTAATGCAAATATATACAAAATTTGCAAACTTCACAGGGCTATATTTTCTTCATTTTACAACAATTCGCAACCAAACTTTGCAATTTTACTCATTTTAAGATGCTCTTTCCAGCCATGGTAATGGCATTCGTTTTTCTTGTCCAGATCAAAATTTCGTCTTTCGCTCGAATCATCCATTGACGAAAATCTAATTACCTCCAAGTGGTGGCCTCAGCTTGTTGTCTCAGTTGGCTCTTTCGACACATAAACTCATTACACTGTCCCACATGCAAACTATCCCAGGCCTTGCCAAGCATCAACTGGCTATTTTTGTTTCATCTTTCATTCAAAACTTACATCCCATTTAATTAATTTGAAAGACGTGAATTGCAACGATTAGGTTGATCCATGAATGTAAGGAATTGATAAGCCACTTACTTTCTAACTGAAAAACACTGTTGTTTACATTATCATTATTTTTATAATACTAGTATACTATATTTATTTCATTCAAAACGTACATCTTATTTAAAGCAGTGAATGAGGACTAAGTCTGATCCATGAATACAAGAGATCGATAAGTCACTTATAACTGAAAAATAGTGTACTTCACAGTTTAATGAAGAATTATTATTGTTTTGATAGTAGTACTATTATTATTTCATCTTTCATTAAAACTTACATCTTATTTAAAGACGTGAATGGCAAGTCTTAATCTGATCCATGAATATAAGAGATACATAAGCCCGATTTACTTTATGAAAAATACTGTGTTTACAGTTTAAATGAAGAATTATTATTATTTTGATAATCAGTACTATTTTTATTTCATCTTTCATTCAAAACTCACATCTCATTTGCAAGACGTAAATCTAATCCATGAATACACGTGAGATCGATAAGTGACTTATAACTTAAAATACTGTGTTTCACAGCACTGAGAGTTATCATTATTATAAGTCTCAAATCAGGATAGCCCGAATAGTAATCATCATATTTTACTCAAAACTCACATCTCACTAGTGAGAGCAGGAATGTCAAGTCCATGAATACATAACTTACATAGCTATACTGACGACTTACATGACAAGAGAATGATAAGCCTTTTAGGTTACAACCGCAAAAACTATTATTAGTATAATATTCTAGTACTCAAAATTGAAAGTGTCGAAGCAGCAATGTTGGAAGGTCACAATGTCTTAAGGGCATCTGTGGGCATTTTTCTATTGTTTTATTTGGGAGAAAAGGTACTTAGATAAACACTAATTTGGCTATATCGTTATGACTTATGTTACGGTCACCGAAGGCCGTGCGGTTACCGTTCGAGTGGTGGTTGTATTTAAAATTTCGCCTCACTAAAGCTACGTTTACGGAATGTATAACCAGAGACGCCGGAACGATGTGAAGGCAAGGGAGGCAGATTTTCGTGAAAGGGCACTTTTGAATTGATATATACTAAGAGATGTTTGCAAAACATCGGGAGTTGAACTTCGCCTAAACATGTTTTCTATTTATTGGATGATAGGGGTGTGAGGGGGTTCTCCGCCAGGCGATTGTGCTATTCTTGAAGCTCGATGACTGCATTTCTTGCATTTTCTGAAGCAAATTCGTAAAAGAATTGCACTAACATTTCTGTCAATTCGCTATTTCGCCAAGGCAATCCTTTAAATTGAAAGGACATCTTTGCCCCCTTGCCCCTCCTGATAAAGGGCAACAGGAGCGGCTGCACCTCCTGCCCCCCAGTTCCGGCGTCCCTGTGTATAACTTTCAGAAGCTGAGCGAAACAACATCTCTCCTTTGCAATAATTCCTCTGAAAATAGCGTTCCTAAAAGATACGAGCCTAAATGAAAAGGAATTGTGGCATCAACAATCATATGACGCCAGAATACGGATTGTACACGACAAATCGAAACGTGTAAAGTGAGTTAGGGTAAAGAACAAAGAAAACTATGCTCTTGTCTAAAGTTGTCTGTTACAGAGTATCGTTATGTCAGGGCCCGCGGAACGTATTAGAGAGTGGGGGGGGCTAAATCATCAATAAAACCCCCAATTAATTAATTTAGAAAGTTTCATTTAGATTTCTATTTTAATAATTTTGGCTGTCAAAAAAAGTGGGGGGGGCTAAAGCCCCCCCAGCCCCCCCGTCTCCGCGGTCCCTGTATGTTACTTGTACAAATATAGAGTGTGAAAATTGTGATATAATTGAGATTGGAAGTGAGTACCACTTTTTCAAATGTCATGCAGAAATTTTAAACATTACCAATCTTAGAAATACTTTTATAAATAATTTATGTGAAATAAATCGTTCTTTCTGTTTGTTAACTCAATAAGATATTTTTAGATATTTTATGGCTATTCAAGAGACAATTATGAACTTGTTTTCCAAATAATGTTACGACATTTGAACCGAGTTTTGGAAAATTTAAATAGAGGTTATTAAAAAAGTTGTTACATTCTTGTGTGTAATGTAGTGGTAGATTTTTATGTTTGTATCTTAATATACCAAAACTGGTATTTATTTATTAAATATATGTACATTCTTCTTTTTTCTTGACTAAAATCAAAACTCTTTCCCATCGAGTTTCCCATAACATAACTACATAACCAACTCTGCATGTGTGTGTGTGGTGAGGGGGGAAGGGGGGGGGGGGGCTCCTATATGCCCCAGTTCCTATTGATGCTACTGCTTATTATTTCTTCTTTGCTTCAAAACTGACATTGAAAGCTTGCACAAACGGCAACAAAATGTCTGATCCGTGAATAGACGAGGATCGAAGGCGATAAGCCCTTTATAAAAACACGAAACAAAGCAAGAATAACACGAGTGCAGATTGGATTAGGTTTTGAAGGAGTTTTTGTAATCCGTTTCCTGATTCCTGAGGGAACTGAAAGGATCACTCACCAGCCTTATCACTTGTCAGCTTGAATACGATATAAGTATGAGTAAACTGTGATTGGGAATCATACACACTACAGAGTTCTTGCGAAGTAGATTGCCGTGAAAACTTCCACTAAACAACCGAATAACTGTTGAGCTAACACACTGTATATTGTGAAAGTATACAGTCACGAAATAGAGGAAAAGAAATAGATACAGAAGAAGAGTTGACGAATTTAAAAGTTCCATTTAGATCTGAAAAACTGCGTTTGGTTGAAGGTATAGAGACGCAAAAGTCGTTTCTATAATAAAAGGAAGAGTTTTTGTTGAATTAAACTAAAATCTGAGCTTTAGGGGAACTAGCAGAACGGGAACTAACTAGAAAGGAAAGGGAATTAACGTCTCAAGTTCCATTGAGATAAAACGGACTTTATCTGAAGATTAAACAGTGTCAGTGGGCAGAGGAAATCGTGAGTTACGATTTTTGAAGGAACGGACAGAACGGTTTAACAAACGAGAAATTGAAAACCATTGCTGGTTAAAATTCCAGTTGCTACTGGTTAAAATCAGACTGTAACGATATCTCAGTTTAATAAGGATTGTCGAGAGTTGGGCGCAATTGGAAAGAAGAACTGAAACTCAGGATCGAATACACGAAATCGAACAAAGATCGAGGAGCTTAAATAGAAACGAACAACCAATACTGAGGACGATTCCATTGGGAAAAATATTCTCTCCTCGGGCTAGGATTACGCTAACGATAGCTTAGGGGATAATTCTGGAAGAGCTATTGACTACAAGACCAAGGAAGGTCGACTATAAAGATTAGTGCAAAGGACGAGATATTTAGACAAAACGAAACAGAGAACAAAAACACTCCAGAGGAAAGTACGTTCTACCACTGCAAACACTATGTTTTCTAAACTTTTCCTTTGCTTGTTATTGTTCGTGCATACAGCCAACACGCTGCTTTTTGGATTATTCGGTCTACACCGTCGTCTTAATCACACCGGCACTAAGATCGGAGCAAGACAGCGAGTGTTGAATTCACACAAGCGAATGCCGCAGTACATGATACAGTTATACAAGGAGTTGACGACGGGTGACGACGTTGGAGTGGTGAAGAAAAAGATGCCTTATTCTGCGAATGCTATAAGAGGACTCAACTCAGGTTAGTGTGTGTTCACTCAATTATTTCTCAAACTAAATCAATTTTATTTATATACTGGTTAGCTCCATCAGTTTTAAATTGGTCTCCCTAGAGGTCTAGTAGTAGGCTAGGTTTAGTATTTAGGATAATCTTATATTGAACCAGTACAGGAGGAAACCTATTAAACTAAACTAACTTTATTTATACTCGATAGCTCTATCAGTTTTAAACTTCCTAGAGGTCCAGTAAGAACCATTTCTCATTGATCCAGTGTTACTACAGGAGGAAACCTAAACTGAACTAACTTTTTATTTATACTCGATAGCTCTATCAGTTCTAAACTAGCTGTTCTTCCTAGAAGTCTAGTAAGGTTCATCTCATATTGATCTTGAGTACAGGGGGAAACCTAAACTAAACTAACTTTATTTGTACTGGATGGTTTTATCAATTCAGTCTAAACTATTCTCCGTAGAGGTCGTAGAGCTTAGAGTAATAAGATACCAAGAGAATTCGATGCTGTTAAAAAAAATCTACCAAAGCTTCGTTTTTCAACACACTTTTCGGGACAGGCGATACATTACTACACGTGACATTGCCGCACATTCTTTGCAATATATGTTAATTAGAGAAAGGAATTTATGAAAAATTGAGGTTTTGTGACTTCAAACGTGGGAGTCGAGTATAAAGGCAGCAATTTACAATAAGCTCGAGTAATCTAAAACTACTTGAATGTTCCGAACAAAATTTGTGCGGAAATCATAGATTGGGATCTTTGTCAAGCCATGCAAGAGATGCCAACAAACGTCAGCACTTAAATGGTTGAACTTTCTACTCATTTAATCGTACGGCAAAGAATTTAGAAAACCATTTGGAAAACACAAATTAATTGACATAATGAAAGTCTAATATATTTATGGATCTACAAGATCTTTCCGATAACAAACATATCCTCCGGCCATGTTTGACACAAGACGGAAATATCCATAGCGTGACGCAACATTCTGCTTTGCTCACTTCGGAAGTTTGCGGTTCGTGTAGGTTTGTCTAGTCATTTAATTGCTTCTCATCGTGATACTGCCATAAATGATAATAGATGAAAATGCAATAAATGACAACTGCTATCTTGCATTATCCATTGCGAAAATATTTATAGGTTTTAGCTATATGTATATGTATAGAACATATAAATTACAAAGTTTGTCCAATCTTGAAGTACAGTACTTAATTGTCATTATACTAGCTGCCATACGTTCGTGGCTTGTATCAGTACTGCCTGGAAAAGATTAATGACGTTTTAAACGATGGTAGTTCAGACTGAAAAACTACGACTAAAATTTATTGTAGAATACTATAACATGCACTTGACCACCACATTTGAGATGTCCTTTTCAGGTCACTTCAGACACAAACCTCGATAGCTTATCGTAGAATATTACCTACACTGGACCACCACGTTTGACATATCTTTTTCAAGTAGTTCAGACACAAACCACGACAGCTTTTATTTTGAAGAATACCACCTACACTGAACCACCACGTTTTAGGAATATTTTTCAGGGAGCCCAGACACGAATGATAGCAGCTTAGCTTTTTTGAACGCTACCTTCACTTGACCCCCACGTTTGAGAAATTTCCAGGTAGTTAACTACACTTGAGATATCTTTTTCAGGTAGTTCAGACACAATTAAACCACAACAGCTAACTACACAGTCTCTTGACACAGCCTTTTCAGATAGTAAACTATAGTTTGTTTTCAAACTGACTCTGGTGGTGAAATGATGAATTAAGTCATTTGAAGAGATTATATTTTGTTTTTCCTCCTTCTACGAGGACTGCTTTTAATCAGTTTCCTGCGCCATTAATCATTATTGAATGAACACTCATTTGCTTGGAATTTCCTCGATGTTTAATGACTTTCCTAATTGCTAGTATTTACAACTTAACAAAATATTTAGCGATTTTTGTGTTGTTGAACAATCAATTATCACTTGTTACATGCGTCTCTAGGTATTCGTCAGTTCCCCCAGAGTGTGTGACGCGTTCACCACGATGCGGGGGACAACATGAAATTTTTCTTAAATTAAACTACTTTCCTAAGACGTGTTGGTTAATACGCGTTACAATAGTTTCCTTAATTAATAAGCTATTGACTAATCTAAGCTTAGCTAACTTTAATTATACTGGATAGCTCTATCAGTTCTAAACTGTTCTTCCTAGAGGTCGAGTAAGAGGCGTCCCATATTGATCCTATGTTACTATAGGAGGAAACCTAAACTAAACTAACTTTGTTTATCCTGGATAGCTCTATATCAGTTCTAAATTGTTCTTCCTAGAGGTCCAGTAAGAATCATCTATTATTGATCCAGTGTTACTACAGGAGGAAACCTAAACTAAACTAACTTTATTTATTTATACTGGATAGCTCTATCAGTTCTAAACTGTTCTTGATCACTAAGAAAAAAATCTGAACTTATATCACGGTCTCAAAAAACAGAATAAAATATTATCGCTAGGACAACTCTAATTAGCATATTTTGCGAAATAGGTTGAACTTCGTGAAACGAATGCAAATATCAAACAATACTTTGCGACGAAAGAAACTGAGCGTTAGAAGTACTTAAACTTGTGTAGGTCAAGAGATTTTCAGGTAATTGAGGTCACAATGATATTATGGTACTCTATTCAAATTGTATGGCCAAATTTGGAAAATCGATGTTATCTGCACTCAATAATTCCGCGCATTTCTTCCATTGTGTTGCATGCAAAGACATATTTGTTGTGCTCTTGAGTCTCAAGTATTGCAAGCGGGTGGTGCGTGTGGGAACTGCTCTATTGAAACATTCTTCTGCATGATGGTATTCACTGATAAGGAATCATTACATCCTGGTTGTCATAATAACCAGAAATATCAAGCTTTAATTATACTGGAGAGCTTCAGGGTAGGACAAGATAGTTTAGCATGCAACACGAAACAGCTGCAGGAAATTTTTAGATTGAAGATTTAAAACTTGACCATTTAAAGTGCCTGATGTGCATATTCCACTGTGCGCCAACAATTTATTGTTGACAGAATTTAGTTTCCCTGAAATTAAAACCAGATTTAGCACAAAATACCGTAAATTTTATCTCCGTAAATTTTATCTCCAGGGAGACTAAATTATTTCGTCCAGCACTAGATATGGCTTTATCAGCTCTGGCCTTCAAATTTATTTTCTTATCTCCAAAAAGCACTCAATTTTTGAAAACAGTAAATGAGTGGAGAGCATGCAGAGTCACAGAATAAAGACAGAAGGTCGACTCAGCCAAAAAAGAGTAACCACTGCCATGCTATGATTCGTCATCAAAATGCTGACGCCATGGTCCTAGCCAGTGCACATAAGAGAGGCATTCACTCAATATTATCAGGGGGTGAATTCCTCTCATAAACGCACTGGCTAGGACTATGGCGTCAGCATTTTGATGACGAATTACGGTTAAGCCAAAATCATAGGACAATCCAAGAAGTTTGTCTCTATTCTGTGATGGAGAGCTAGCTGTGGGATTTGTAAACAGAGGAATGGAACAAAGTACAGTATTTTTCTTGCCAACCAGATATTGTTATGCCAAGTGTTTTTAGGCCATATATTTATTTAATGATGTCATAATTTTGTTTCTATTTTAATCGAAAATTGTTCATTTAAGTACTTAGTATGAATTTATCCTAACCACAATGCCAGCCAGATTACCAGCTATAAATAATGGATTGTGTTTATACAAAAGAGCTCTTTAGGCGAAGATAAGTGCTTCCAGCAGGATTTTATCTGCGCGCCCCCAGGCGACATTCAAAGGCAGACAATGACATTGAACTCGAATCGTAGGCACAAACATTTTAGGCCATAATCCTGTGTTGTCACGTTAAATATTATTATTATTATAATTATTATTATACAATATTAGACACTCCCAGTTGGGCTTTTCTGGATCTAATTTCAAATATGAAATTCTTTTTTATCTGAAACATCCAAAAACTAATTTTGAGTTTTGAACTAAGGTATAACGTATAGTTCTAGAATATTATATAAATCTGTTAAAAAAACATTTTTAGTTAAGTATTCTTCTAAAAACATACGTTTGTATTCTACTTTAAAAATGAGTCAAACAATGAATATCAATGTTTTTAAGAGACTGAGGCGGAGAATTCCACAAGGACACAGCCCTATAATGAAATGTTCGTTGACATGCAGCAGCTGATCTGTACATTGGAATATCCAAAATAGTGTTCTTTTGCCTTATTGTAATTAACGTCATGAACATCTGACCTGACATGAAACTTCTCACACAAATACGATGGTGCCAACCCCTTCAAGCATTTGAACGCAAAAATGGCTTCTCTTAATTTTGACATATATTTGACTGAAAGCCAGCCCAATATACTGTCCTGGACTTAAAAGTAAGCTGCATCCACAAAGTGATAGTGATCTCTATTATTAGAGCAATGACTAATGACGCACATACACTTCAGACAATATGCTATGTCAACACAGGGATGCTAAATCCTCCCACAGTTATTATTCCACATGGAATATTTTTGGTCAAACATAAACTTTTCCACGAGTTGTTTATGCGCGCACTTTACGCGCTCCACATCATCATTGTTGATTTAAAAAAGACAAAAGATGAGAGAGTGTTATAACATATAACAAAAAGAAGCTGATCTTTTTCCAAGCGATTTGGAAATTCTGATTTCAGGAGGAACCAGACATACTACAGCGCGGTGCTCAGGGGCATGCGCAAAACAAGTTAACCACAAGCGCGATGTGACATACTATTTTTGAATATATAAACACCATAGCTTTTGATTCCGAACAAACTAACAGACTAGTGAACTCACGCAGCGAACATAAAGCGATGTCAAACTTTGTTTGGGCACTTCATTTTCCATAACATAAATTTAACGATAACGGTTCATCGCAAATGTATCAAGTAGCGCGTAGACGAGTTGTGTGCTTGACACGACTCAAGTTGTAAGCAAGTTACATGCAACAGTTTTAGGCAAAGGTCCTTTATAGCTATATGGAACTGATATTTGATAACCTGGCCGGCCACGTTTCGGCGCACGAATATATTATATATTTGCGCAATCGCATAACTGGATAAAACCTGAAATTTTACCTGGAATAGTTGTGCGCCATCCAACCACGTACATAATTGCTCCTGGTTTACCACAATTATCCCTCTGCGTATACACGCTTGATCTTTAATTATCCCTTTCAATCTGCCAACAAAAAGTACATGACGTGAGGCAAAATTACTGATAAGCTTACCAATGACATCATGTATAATAATGCATTGTATGTTTGTTTTATGGTAAATACATCCTTCCTGACGCGCGGGCCAAAACTGCTCTTATACTCTAATCCTCCTACCAGACAATTTTTGCACATGAAGGTTAATCATAATGACTTTGTTCTAAAATTTCTCTATTTGGCATTTATTGAACTTTTCAGTATACTGAATAAAGTTTGGGTTTCCTCCTGTAGCAACATTAGAGGAAGAACAGTTTAGAATTGATAAAGCTATCCAGTATAAATAAAGTTAGTTTAGTTTAGGTTTCCTCCTGTAGTAACACTGAATCAATAAGAGATGATTCTTACTGGACCTCTAGGAAGAACAGTTTAGAACTGATAGAACTATCCAGTACAAATAAAGTTAGTTTAGTTTAGGTTTTCTCCTGTAGCAACACAGAACCGATAAAAATAGCTCACAGAAGAAAGGATTCCTACGTACATAGTTATTTTTGCATCTCGGCATAAGACCACTTAATTTTGACAAAATTAGACAATGCATCGAGGAGGTTGTTTTGACAGACGCTGCCAAATGGCCTCTTCATTTCAGGATATACAGGCGGTGAGGATTAGAATAACCTTTCTTGTCTTGTCAACGGAGGGTTTGTAATTTAAGTAGTTTTAAAAACTTTTTGGTTTTCCTAAAACAAGTTTATACTGGATAATTCTACCAGTTCTAAGCCGTTCTTCCTACAAGTCCAATAAGGATCATCTCTCATTGATCCAGTGTTACTACAGGAGGAAACTTAAACTAAACTAACTTTATTTATACTGGAGGAATCTATGAGTTCTGAACTGTTCTTCCTAATGGTCTGAGTATAAGTACATCTGTTATTTTTCCAGTGTTACTGGCGGGGGAAATTGAAGTACTCTGGTGTAAAGCACAATCGATTAAGTACTGGTTTGCGGATAAAAATAATGGTATTAAACACAAAATTTCAGGCTGATATACTTCAAGATTATAGCATATTTCGTGAGAGTAGTGTTGTCATGTAAGCCAAATTTAGCGCAGCGTTTTATTTATAAACATTCACGTTTCCTGCACTTGCGTTATTAAAGCGATACTTCCTCTTTTTAGTATAACACTTCTATGCATGGGATTCAATCATTCCTCAGTTTACTTAGATCAAAGATTTACGATGTAACATAATGCCATAGGATGCAGGGTACGCCTGGATATTAAAGAGCACTGGAGTATTAAATTTAAACCTTGCCCAATTTATGGTTTTAATAGAACCATATTAAAAATGCGATGTAACTAGACTTGCAAAAATTTCATCATTCTGTTTATGCAAACGTTTTCCCGTATTCTGTCTGGCACGAGTTAATCCTACAATGCTAGGATCTTGTTATATAAGGCATGACCCTTACTGAGCCTTGCCCTTGGGGAGAACAGTTTGGAACTGATAGAGCTATCCAGTATAAATAAAGTTAGTTAAGTTTAGGTTTTCTCCTGCAGTAATCTGTATAGGGAAAACAGTTTTGTACTGCTGGATATAGACTACAAATTGAAGATTTTGGCGAACTTGCTCTCGTATCTGATGTCAAATGTGGACGATTAACATTCTTAGCTAATTAAACAAAGTCATTTATGTGGTGTTAAACTCTTCATTCAAAAGTACAAATGGTGATTATAGTATTAAAATTCACAGCTAATTGATACAAAGAATTTGTAGAGTGCCAACTACTCGAGTCAAAGCACAAATAGTGAGTATAATCTACCATACACATGTTCACATTGAAGTAGTTTGACACCTTTTTCCAAAACATTTTAATGAGATAATTAGCTGTTGCAATTAGGTGTTAATTATGTGCTAATTAGGAAGACTTCAACGCTTTGATGGGCGCTTGAAAATGGATGTTTACCACATTTTATAACCACTGTATTTTCTTTGGAATGAATTTTGTGATTGATTTAGCTTTTTGAACGTTTTTGGTTTCTAAGCCTACTTGTGCAGAAGAGCGGACAAAATAGTGCTGTTCTCTCAAGCGATTTTTGCTGTAATGATCATTTGGCAGTGAATGAGATACGAGACTAATTCATTAATTATAAACTTTTGTATGTTTTAATGTTCAAAGAGCTGGCTTGGTTTTCTTGGAGGTCCATATTACGTACACATAGGTAATTAATAGCTTTATTAGCATGACCATAAATTTACAGTATTGCTAAAGCATTACAAACAATATATAGAAGAAACTATGATAAACTAGGACTATTACAGATTATTATTTGTGGAATGATTTATAATAGACTAATACAATATTAAGAAGAATTAAGAGGAAAGAAAGAAGACAAGTATATACTATTTACAAATAAGGTGGTTATTACAACCTTTGCTAATCCGCATTCCTGGTTTCAAGGTATTTAAGTCTTTGCTTGAAACATGAATACACAAATTTTGAAAGTTTGGTTATGATTTGACTATCAGTTGACTTCATTAGATCCGCTGATATTAGATCCGCACATATGTACAGCAAAAATCATTTGGCAGCGAATGCGTTGCAAGGCTGAAGCCGCTTTTCCACAAGAGTGAACCCGCAAGCCCTCTGCGGGAACTTTCATCCAATGACAATGCTCGACAGTTTTATGTTAATTAAGTTGGTTTTATGTTAATTAAGTTTATACCTAGGGTTGGTACTGAAGAGAAGCGAAAAACAGTGTAAATTTTTTATTTGCCCAACCTCAACATTAGTCAACATAATGTTTACCCAACCCATGTGTACTGTACTTCATAATAATTAAAGATTATGGTGACAAAAATCAAAGTTGCATAAATTCTAAAAGCTCACTCACACTCACACTCACACTCACTGAGTGTGCCAAAGCAATTACGTTCCTGCTGATCAATGATAGAGTCCTTTCTCAATCACTGATGGTCTATTTTGGTACAGAATGTATTGTACACATTTTTCTTCATATTTTCCAATGCGTGGTAATTTTGGTTTTATTTCATAGCTGACAGACAGCGATAATTTTCTTTACCCAACCCATGAGCTAGTCAAAAACGTGATTACCCAACCCGTATTTCTTCGGTGTCAACCCGGGTATAAATAATAAACGGTCCCTAAACGTTTGCGTGCCTCGTAAGCCCTCTTGCACAGAAGAGCAGGATGTCATTTCACACGGTTTCTTTTGCGTATGTATACAGGAAAAATCGAAACTTTGTTTCCTTTGGCTGTATGATATGAAATTTAATAGTTGCAACGGGCTGTAAGTGAATTATACTACAGCAAGATTTCTAGATCTATTTGGCAAGACTGAGTTTCCTTTGTGCATAAGTGTACGGCATATAGTTGTGTTTTCTTTGGCTAGTTTGTTGCTACAAAGATCTTGTGGCTTTGAATGAGTTGCGTAGTTATTAAGTAATTAAGCTCTCCATTTTAATTAAGCCGGCAAAACATAAGAGGAGTATGATTCTTTTGACAATTGGCGAATTGCGTTTCTTTGCGTATACTACATATACTGCAAAACTTAGACTGCGAGCAAAACTCAAACATTTTCTTTGTCGCTAGATCTTTTGCTCATTGAATAAGTTGAGGATAGACTATTGTTATTGCATGTTTTAGTCTACAAAAGAGCTAGCATGCCTTAACAAGATTTCCTTGAAACGAAGCTTAGTAATTAGTCACTTCCTGTAGTAATAATATAAGATCAATCTTTAAGAACAATCCTTACTGGACCTCTAGGGAGAACAGTTTAGAACTGATTACTGATAGAGCTATCCATTATAAATAAAGTTAGTTTAGTTTAGGTTAATTTCCTCCTGTAGTAACACTGGATCATTAAGAGATGATCCTTACTGGACCTCTAGGGAGAACAGTTTAGAACTGATATAGCTATCCAGTATAAATAAAGTTAGTTTAGGTTTCCTCCTGTAGCAACACTGGATCAATAGGAGATTATCCTCACTGGACCTCTAGGAAGAACAGTTTAGAACTGATAGAGCTATCCAGTGTAAATAAAGTTACTTTAGTTTAGGTTTCCTCCTTTAGTAACACTCGATCAATACAAAGAGATGATCCTTACTGGACCTCTAGCGAGAACAGTTTGGAACTGACAGAGCTATCCAGTATAAATGAAGTTAGTTTAGTTTAGGTTTCCTCCTGCAGTAACATTGAATCAATAACTACTATTACACGAATACTGAAGTACTATAAAAACACGAGCCGGTGTGCTTTATCAAATATAAAATACTAGAGTGCAGCTCGAGTGATTTCTTTTGTATTTTCCTCATGAATTATTAATGCCTTTTTAAAGGAATAATCCTTACTGGACCTCTAGGGAGAATAGCAATTTAGAACTGATTGATGTAGTTTAGTTTAGGTTTCCTCCTAATCGTATTACTCCATATAAATAATATTGTCATTACACCCCTATATTTCATAGACGTATTAATTATCCTATAATTTTCCTGTTTTTGTCTTTATGACTTTAAAACTGGATTAAACTATTACAAGCAACCGCGGTGGTCAATTCCCTTAAGAAAATCGGGGAAATTAAAATGAGGATTTGCGCAAATTGTCCTGCCAAATTACAATTACACACTCCCGCTGTGGTTCGTTGTGTTTGCTTGAAAACAAACTGCCCGACAATTGTGTGCATTTACTAATTAGAAGAAAGACTTTCGCTAGGGGCATCGAAGAATCGTTTAATTTTCGAGTTGGGACACAAATCACGGCAGGTTATTGTAGCATACACAAGACCACCACGTCTAAGACTTTGTTTAGCGACAGGCGCAATTTCCTGCACAAAGTTTCTATATTGGTTTACTGTTAAATTGGTGGTTAAATTGGTTTATTTGTAAATATTTCCTTTCTGGGATTTTAGTGCTATTTCAGAGGCGTAGTTGACTATAAAAACCACCCAAGTCGAAATTCCCTGAAGTAATTAAAATAAATAACGATTAACTAGTAACTGTGCCAGAAACATCTTCATGTAGACTTGCCTACAGGCTACAGGTCTAATCTTCATGCAACGTCGTGGAAAACAATTACGCACGCTGTTCAGCAGACCCATATTTTCCGTTTTAAAATATGGATCTGCAAGCAGGGAACTACCCTGTATTGCACAGTTCACTGTATTGCGCAGAGGAAACTTGATAAACTTAGGGAGGCCCGATTCACGAGGCGCTACCATGGTTGGCGTCTTGGCGCTGATTGGGAAAATTTCGAGCCTCTACGGATCGTCAGAAATGGGAATCTCAGAATCTTATCAACCCCTTTCAACAATAGACAACTTGCATGTTAGACTAATTTTTTATTTAGGAAAAAAAAGTAAATTCCCGTAAAGAACTTATTAAAATTAGTAGAATTGCAAAATTTGGTTACGAAATGTTGTAAAATACAGAAAATATAGCCTTGCGAAGTTTGCATATTTTCAGTATGTTTGTATTACGTGCGGAAATTGTTACCAGTTTTGAGCCGAAAATGGTAACAATTTCCGCACGTAATACAAATATACTGAAAATATGTAAACTTCGCAAGGCTATATTTTCTGTATTTTACAACATTTCGCAACCAAATTTTGCAATTTTACTAATTTCATTATGTTCTTTTTAACTGTTGTGTTTGATTCCCTTCTCTTTGCTTAGATTAAAATTTAGTCTAACATGCAAGTTGTCCATTCTTTCGGCGATCTTCATTACGATTTGTGAGTTTGTGCTGTCCGTGAGTCAGGATGGTTTGTTATTATTAAAAGGTCGATCAGCGCAATTTTTTAAATTCAATTTTTTTTTGGGGTGGCGGCCTTTATAGAATATTGGTGGAGGTGCGGACCCTCGCTCCTCCCTGCATCCTACACCCAATTCCTAATGTTGCTGTAACATTTAGCATTCTCCTAACACACATTTCAACTTCTTTTACTAGCCACTACAGTTTTATCCAATTCCAGCATGAAAATCTACTTCGACCTTGGCTACTTCAAGAACGGCATGGCGGTGAACCGTGATGAGGTGCACCTGCACATGTCCCCCCCTGATCCAGCTGACAGAAACAGCTTCAAGCCGTTTGTACTCCGATTAAACGATATCCACACAAACAAATTGATCAGGAAATACAAAGTACCCGCGTTTAACCAAGGCTGGCAAGTATTGTCGTTGAACAAATGGACGAATACGTGGGTCAAGAATTCGAGCTCGAACAAAGGGGTACTGATCACCATACATCGCGGGGGTGGAGGAAAGGAGGCGAATAAGAACCCGTTTATTAAGTTCCCGAGTGGTAACGACCCGTACATGATTATATACACAAGCGAAAGAGTCCAAACCCTGATGGCATTGAGATTCCTTATTCAAAACGCGCTAAACTCTGTCTCCGGAAACACGCAAGGAAGCCAGCAATCACAAGGTGGTCAGCGGTTGACACGTGATCTGAGCCATCGATCACAAGGTGGTCGGCGGTTGGCACATCGTCTGAGCAGGCGATCACAGGGACAGCACGTGACACGTAATACGAGCCAGCAATCACAATGCAAAGCGGTTGAAACGGACAAGAACCTGACGGACTTAAAAGTGAATGGTCGCTCTGTCATCATTCACCCAAAAGTTTATAAGATGTTTAATTGTTCCAATTCGTGTATCATGCGACCAGCGAGAGGTTACTTTCATACGACTCCAAATAATGGTCCAAGTAAGGAGAAATACTGTTGCGTTCCAACAAAACGTCTTGATCTGATGGTGTTACTAAAAGATCCTCTCACAGGTGATATCGAAGTCCAACTATTGAAGAATTTTTTGCCGACTGGATGTATGTGGTCAAAACAATAATCTCTCTCTCCTCTCCACAGCGACTTTAGTGGAATTTGTAGTATATAGAGCACATAGTTAAAAGCCCATTTTCCACTAGGCAAATTTGTTCGCGCAAAGCGCAAATCTTGGCAATGTGATTGGTCAGCGAAAAAGCTGGATCAGTTCCTACTTTTTTACTGTTCGCGCAAAAAAATTCGCCTATTGGAAAATGAGAGACCAGTGATATTTAAAGAGTGAAGGACAATGTCTGTAGTAAATAAACCCTCAGGGGATGAAAGAATGCACGGTAAATTTGTGCGCCAGCCCATCACCCCTCTAAAAATCACTAGTCGCTGAACTCCGAGGAAAGAGAACTTGAGCAAATATATGATCATTTCATGGTGACAATAAACTGTTTTGGTTTGATGTACAGTACAACTGTAAGACGATGAACCAGGACCTACGGTTATACTAAGATTGACAATGATTTGGCATCAGACTTAACATATATTATATTCTAGCATAGTCTATCTCAAGATATGATGGTCTGGAAACTGCATAGAAGGCATTGTGTTATGTTTTTGTGTCTGAGTTTATGTTAATTTGTGCAACGGTGATTGAGCTCATTGTATTTTCGTATAATGAAGTAATCGTCCAATAGACCCATTGCACTGACGTCACAAATCCTTAGAGTGTCCTCCAGATGCTCCCTAACAATATCTGTCCGGGTACAACAACCACATACAGCGCAAAAAATAACCATTTTAATACAAAATTGTTATAAAGTTTTACAAAATTTGCTCTGTTTACAAAAGTTATATTATGCATGGTTGCTAATTTGTCTTCCAGATGCATCACTGGCGCTGTGACGTCATGTACAATGGGTCTATAGGGATAGCTGAGATGAAACGTACAACCACGATGAATAATATTTAATGAAGTTGAGACAAAGGATTTGTGCACGGTGACGTACAGTTCAACAACACACAGAAGTCTTCTATTTTGTGGCTTTGAAGTTTGCCCGGCTTCCAGACCATCACATCTTGACAGACTATGATTCTAGGGATATGCTAAATTTTAATAGTTATGTCTGGCAAATCATAGTTATACGTGACATTATTAGGCATTCCACAATATCAGACATTTCACTTTGGGATAGGAGGTAACAAAGCTTGTTGCCATAATGCTTTGAGATCATTAAGAAACCCTTTACCATCTGTTCCAGACAGCGCGGTTGCTTCAATATAAACTATTGAGTTGACTACTTGACATGAATTTTAGTACTCTACCTAAAATTTGAAATTTTTAAATACTGCTATGATGGGTTGTAAAGGTAGCGAGGTACACATTCTGGAGTGGAGGTTTATACATGTATGTCAAAAATATATTATTATTATTATATAAAACTTATTGCAATGCAATAAAATCTTGTTATCAAAAAAATTGTGAAACATTTTTTGTCGGAAAAATTGAATCGAATATACACGCGAGTCAGAAATACAGCCTGAAGTCAATTTCTCAACCAAAACTGCACGACTTCAAACTTTCTACGGTATAAATGTGAAGCGAATTGAACCGCAACTGTCGAAGATAAAACACAAGTGTCGAAGTTACTGGAAAAGCCGATTCACACTACAAAACTTTTGCCTAACACAGTGCAACTCAAGTTGTAAGCAGCTTTGCATGCGACAGTTTTAGGCAAAAGTTATGTAGTGTAAATTGCCCGAAATGTTAATTTTTGTTTCGGGTACAAAAGCTCAATTAAAAACTCATTAATAATTCATGACGAAAAGACAAAAGAAATCACTACCGTGTTGGGGGTTTTGTATGTGATAAAAACTCGTGTTAATTTACACAAACTTTAGCCGATTTTCTCGGCTTAGGTCTGTTTTATACGTCGAATTTCGGTCGCGTCGAATGCATTTCAAACAATAGATAATGAAGCTTAATGAGGTTTATCATCTTATTATCTATTGTCTTAATTGCATTCGACACGACCAAAATTCGACGTATAAAATGGGTCTAAGACAATGTTGATTTTTAAACAGCGAAGGCCTTTTGTCGACTTGGCTAACTTGCACATTTCATCCGCACAAGTCGGGTGAGAGCGAGTAAATATTAAACAAATGGAGAACCTAAAACGAGTCAAGTATTTGTCCTCTGTCGATGAACTATAAACACGAGCAAAAAATAAACTATTTGTCCTATAAACACGAGCAAATAAACGGCAAAATTATAGTCATTGTACACTACACAAATGCATGTTTAATTTCAAAACAACCGACACAGCTACAACACTCACCAAGTTATTTTAAGTCTCTTTCTTTCCCCGAAGTTAAGAAGACTTTTCTTCGTGAAGAAAAGAAGCCTGTTTCGGCTTCTTTGTGCTTTTATTTAGAACATTTAAATCCCCAGAAGTCGGACATTTAAATCCCTCTGATTTGCAACATAAAACATGGTGGGCAACGGCGCGGAAATTTAAACTTTCGGAATATTTTCGATCAATAATTCTGGAACCAATAGGGAATCAGGAACAGTGCCACGTGATCATGTTTACTCTCTGAGCTTACAAAACAAACTGGACAATTTGCAAACAATTCTGTCACAGCTGACCTATAGAAATTATTCTGGTTTCTTAACATGGCGAGATTTTTCTTAAATTTGTTGCGTTTTATTGTCGATTTGATGCCCGTGTTTTAAATAGTACATGACCAGTGACCACAGAGTAAGGCAAAACGTTTGTTAGAGTGCATATATTTATTTATTTAACACTGGCAGACAGAGTGTACATTAATTGCATTCAATTAAAGTCAATCTGTAAATTATACGCCTGTATTCTAAAAGCGCACTCACACTCAAGAGTGGAGGTTCAATCTGAGCTTCCTTGTGTGTCAGTGCTGTTTTTGAATAGCTGGAGGGTGAGCAGTCACATAGTAAGGTATGACACTAATCCTCCAGCTATTCAAAAACAGCAATGACCATAGATATCTTATATACACTAGTTAGTGCATCTAAGCCGTAATTGCAGACTCAGGATATTCCCATGAAATGAGAAGACTCGTATGTTTTCTATTTCTTAAACACAGAACTTAAACATTAAGTTAAACCTATTCCAAATACATTTTCAAACTGTTCAAATGATGAAAGTTATTGTTTTTTAAGCGTTTATTAGCGAGTGGGAAACTCCAACATGGTCGCCATCTATTCAAATGGGGGTAATCGCTGGAATATTCTTGACTTCAATTTTACTTAAAGAGATGCGCTATCTAGTGTATATAAGATATCTATGGCACTGACACTGAAGGGAGCTCAGATTGAACCTCTACTCTTTGAGTGCAAGTGTGAGTGAGTTTTTAGACTACAGGCGTTAGTGTCGTTTTCACAACACAGGAAAGGACTCACACCAGACACATCATAGTCAATATAGAATAAGCCAATACGGTGAGGAAGTCGATACAGACATAATAGGCCCCATAATCTATCGTTTGGTCTTGGTTTATGCAAAAAATGGTCGGTTCATCGTCATGTGTGTATTGTTTTTTTCGCTAGAGTAACCCAATAGCTTGATTTAATTACCCAGTCGTGAGATCACGTGACCAGCTACGACCAGGGTCTTTCCTCCACAAGAGGTAAGAGCCTGGGAACGAGGTTGAAACCAAGACAAAAACATTGATACTGAGGCTATTGTATCTGCATCGAGTCTCCTAACTTTCTTATTTTATTGAGCATGGACACATCAAGACAGACCATTATTTTTCACAAACCAATACAACTAGAATTCCAGTTTAAGTGACCGGTTCAATTTCTGCAAGCCTTTCATATTTCGCAGTCTTTTGCAGCCATATAGATGAAGAGTCTTCATTCTAAAAAGAAAGAAAAAAGATTTTATTGCACGAGACAGTTTTAGGCAAAAGTTGTGTAGTGTCGTAGGCAAGTTGTGTGCTTGATTTACACAGTACAACTCAAGTTGTAAGCAGGTTACATGCGACAGTTTTAGGTAAAAGTTGTGTGGTGTCGTAGGTGAGTTGTGTGTTTGATTTACACAGTACAACTCAAGTTGTAAGCAGGTTGCATGTGACAGTTTTAGGCAAAAGTTGTGTAGTGTCGTAGGTGAGTTGTGTGCTTGATTTACACAGTACAACTCAAGTTGTAAGCAGGTTGCATGTGACAGTTTTAGGCAAAAGTTGTGTAGTGTCGTAGGTGAGTTGTGTGTTTGATTTACACAGTACAACTCAAGTTGTAAGCAGGTTGCATGTGACAGTTTTAGGCAAAAGTTGTGTAGTGTCGTAGGTGAGTTGTGTGTTTGATTTACACAGTACAACTCAAGTTGTAAGCAGGTTGCACGAGACAGTTTTAGGCAAAAGTTGTGTAGTGTCGAAGGTGAGTTGTGTGCTTGATTTACACAGTACAACTCAAGTTGTAAGCAGGTTACATGCGACAGTTTTAGGCAAAAGTTGTGTAGTGTCGTAGGTGAGTTGTGTGTTTGATTTACACAGTACAACTCAAGTTGTAAGCAGGTTGCATGTGACAGTTTTAGGTAAAAGTTGTGTAGTGTCGTAGGTGAGTTGTGCGCTTGATTTACACAGTACAACTCAAGTTGTAAGCAGGTTGCATGCGACAGTTTTTAGGCAAACGTTGTGTGGTGTAAATCAGTCTTAAAATACTTGAATAGATCCTGCCTACCTCTTGCAGTGTTTAACAAGACGAGAGACGCTATCATCAGTGACGTCAACACAAAAACTTAACTTCAACGACTGAAGATTTTGACTGCAGTAACTGGCCAGTAACATCACACTGCAAGGGAAACACGTGAAGTAGATCAGACGACGGTAGCCGGAGTTTATATTAGAGACGAATCAACCATAACCAGTGCGGAGCAGGGGGGCACTTTGCCCTGGACTGGCGGACTCCCAGCTCAAAAGGGCCCCAAAAGCAACGAAAATTTCCTTTTAACTTTCCTTTGACCCACCTTTTCTGTGTGATACTGGTGGAACTTAAATCTAAGGAATTCAGTCGGTTACACGACCGAGCCAGCGCTCTTACACCATGGTCAGTGACCTTCACACAACCACACACATCAAGACACCTTTACAAAAAAAAGTAAGATGGTCACAAGGCCAAGATCTAGGCCACAGAGTACTAACCATACAGAGGTCTCACTTGGCCAGAATAACGTAAGGTACTTTTTTTACTGTGGATAACTGGCGGCCATGTTCTTAGCAGGTGTTCTTAAATAGAAGCATTCACCCCCCCCCCCCCCAGGACATTAAATTTCAATATGTTTCAGGGGGGTGACAGCCTCTTTTAGGGCACTTGCTAAGAAAATGGCGGACCGGAAAAATCCCTTACGCCGCTGAAATGGGTGATTCCAGCTACAGTATAGACTAAATTTTGATCTCGGCAAGAAGAACAAAATCAATCACCACAGCTAGAAAGAGCATGTTAAAATTAGTAAAATAGCAAAGTTTGGTTGCGAAATGTTGTAAAATGGGAGAAATATAGCCGTACGAAATTTGTAAATTTTGTATTACTTTATTACGCGCGGGAATTTGCACCATTTTCGGCCCAAATGTGGTGCATTTTCCCGTGCGTAATACAAATTAATACAAAATTTGCGAATGTCGTAGTGCTATATTTTCCTCATTTTACAACATTTCGCAACCAAACTTTGCAGTTTTACTAATTGTAACATTCTCTTTCCAGCTGCTTTCTTCTTGCCTAGATCAAAATTTAGTCTATAGCTTGGATCACCATTAATAAGTGAGACCTCTGTATGTATGGTATTTCCTATAGGCTGCATCACTGGTACATACCTTACAGCAGATAGATTCGTGGCAATTTCAGACATAGCCACGTCAGTAATTAAAGGACAGTTCGCTAGAACCAAGTTCACCAAATGAGGACAATGTTTCACTATCGTTTTCACGCAAGCATCACGCGCCTAAAACATAAAAGATAAAATATAAAGCACAGAAAAATATTGTGAGATGTGGTTTGATTTTAGTGCTCCTAAACGAGTCAACATTTCTGAAGTTGTGTCGAAAGTCTTACCAAAACCCACCTTTAAAGTAAATTATTTGTTTGTAGTAATTCCTAACCTGTTTACAGCCACGTAAGTCCAGATTGACTATTGATTCTAAGTGGGAAACCAACCGACCAATATCAGAACTTGTTATCTAAATAAAGAACCAACCAGGAACAATAATGTATTGCTATTCAGAACAATAATGTATTGTTGCCCGAATAATAAGGTATTGTTATGCGACCAATAAGGTATTGTTTTAAACAATGAACCATCATTATCTACAGTCAACTATAAGTTTTTATTTTCCCACCTTATAACACTGTCCAAGATTCAATGTTTCCAAGTTGGGACATTTCTGACCAAGACGTTTTATAGCCGCCGCAGAAACGTTAAAACAACCAAATATTTCAAACGTTCTCAAACTAAAAATGAAGAAACACTTCAAGTGACAAAAGAACATGTACATTATCAGAAAAAGTCCTCGTTTACAAAAAGTTACGTTCAGGTTTTAGTGTTCTGAGTGACTGACTCAACTCACCTCTCGCCATGTTTGTCACCGACCACCTTTAAAGAATGATCAGTGATGGCTTGACAACCATTCAGACATAAACACTCCAGCCTGGCAGAGAAAATGTCCTCGATAAGTTCAAAACAATAAGTTCGAACTCATATTTCTTTCACAAGATAGCTCTATCAGTTCTACATTGTTCTCCCTAGAGGTCCAGTAAGGATCATCCCTTACAACAGGAGGAAATCTAAACTACCTTTATTTATACTGGATAGCTCTATCAGTTCTAACTTGTTCTCCCTAAAGGTCCAGTAAGAATCTTCTCTTATTGATCCAGTGTTATTACAGGAAAAAACCCTAAACTAAACTAACTTTATTTATACTGGATAGCTCTATCAGTTCTAAACTGTTTTCCCTAGAGGTCCAGTAACGATCATCTCTTATTGATCCAGTGTTACTACAGGAGGACGCTGAAGTACCTAAAAAAAAACTGCGCTCTTTTTTCGGGTCAAACTGGAAGCAATCTTCTCACAAGCAATTGAGGTAAAATTATAATCAGACAACTGCATATTGCAGGAATCAAACCACTGTGTCTCGAACAGGAAACAAGCAGCAAGTCAGACCAAGGCGTAACAGACCTCTCAACATTCTGTACCAAAGCATCAACGCCATTATCGCCCACATTACTCCAGCTCGCGTCCACTAAACGAAGTTTATTACAGCGCAAAGCGACATGTAATAGAATTGATTCCCCAATCAGTTGACCACCGTTACATCCAATAAAATTTAACTCCTGCCAACAAAAAAATTTCTTTCAAATGATATTGCGTCTAGTTGTCTGTGTGCTTAAAAATTTTCAACCAGTCCTCTATCCTACCTCCAAATTGTCAGCACAACGTCTAAACAGCTCTCGCAAGCCACTGGACGTCACTAGGTTACCACGGCATTTGATCAAACTTAAACTGACTGGTTTCTTAGATCCGATCTTTTCCAAAAATTCGTCATTGATATTCTGGTTTCGTCTTAGGGTTATCGTTCTCCCTTGAAGGTTAAGTAGTGAAATTTAGCTTATTTATATCCTTTTTCAGTGTTACTGTTACTACAAAAGGAAACCTGAACTAACTTTATTTATACTGGATAGCTCTATCAGTTCTACATTGTTCTTCTTAGAGGGCCAGTAAGAGTAATCTGTTATTGATCCAGTGTTACCACAGCAGGAAACCTAAACTAAACGAACTCTATTTATACTGGATAGCTCTATCAGTTCTAAACTGTTCTTCCTAGAGGTTGAGTAAGAGTCATATCTCTTAGTGATCCAGTGTCTACTTACATAAAATTTCATCTTGTGATATTCGTTGAAGCTGTTGACAAACACAGGAACATCTGGCTAACTCAGCATGAGAGAGATGGCAAAATATTCTCAAGATGATTTCGTCGGGAAGACATAAATATGGCTGCGGCTTTTCACGGCTAGTTCGAATCTAGAAGTGAATGTAAAAAAACAGTTACTGTGAGGGGAAATTTTCCTTGCAAGAATTTTTTTTGTCTTTACAGTGTTGAAGCTTAAACACTACAGCTATAAAACATAGATACTGTACCATCTCAGTTATTTCATCATACTTTGGAGAACCTTAGAAGAATAAAGTATACGTAATTGGTTTAAGGTCTGGAAGTAGATTCAACCCAAATTTTTGTGCTGGCTAATTAGCTTAAGGATTATTGCTATATAAATGTGAATCAGGTCTCAAGATTTCAACTTATCTTATAGAAGTCTAGTACTACAACAATCAACCAAGAATGTGTTATGATGTACAAACAGTACATACCTGAACCATTAGTTTTGCAAGTGGTACGGTTGGTTTTCTTTTCCGTAGCTTTTATCCCTTTCAAGGTCTGATATTAAATAAAATTACAATAGGGTTATCAAATAAAATTACTTTGAGATTATTTCTATAAAAACTAGTTGAAAAGTATAATTAATAACAGTACATGTCAAGGTTAAAAATAACTGTTTTCTTACCAAGCTCCCAACAGCATGATCTGAGGAATTTCCTTTTTTCTTCTTAAATTCTCGGAACTTGTGGGATCTCGGCAAGCTTCCTGGCACACAACTTCCATCATCTGTCTTCCCATGATTCCCTGGGTTCTTAAACGAGGTTGATCTTGGCCGAGATACATCAGCTTCCTCTTTAACAATACCGCCTTTCCGAGGATAATTTTTTAAATTCTTCGTACTGGGTGGCTTCGAGAGATGGCTATCTTGAAATGTGCTCCAAGCTAAGTTAGATTTTTCCCAACGACGACCGTTATGTTTGGGTTTGTTTCTCACACTCCGGAAGTCCGAATCAGCTGTCGGGATTGACACAGACTTTTTGGTTGACGGAGACTGCCTTAGTCCATTTATTTTGCTAGATTCTGTTGGCTGAGAGCCAGCTTGAGTCTTTGGTATTGGAGGTTTGCCAGTGTGGGTTGGCTCGTTACGCAAGTCAATTGATTTGCCGCTGATAGGTTTTGTACTTGCTAATGCTGCTCCACACTCTGAGCACCAATTTGAACTGCCACGGTTGATCTCGTCACACGCAGGACAAATGCAAACATCAAAGTATTGTTCATTTATATTGTCAATTTCTTTATTTGGCAATGTACCATAAGATTCAGAGTTCTTTACAGAATTATTCATCAAATCATCTTGTGATTTAGTCACTCTTTGTTTATTTGGTAAATGACCATGGGAATAACTTTTGGATTTATTTACTGAATTATCTTTTCTTGACAAGTTGTGTTTGCTTGAATTGAACCAACCATTTGACATAATATCACCACTATCACTATAACTTATTTCCACATCAACACACTCTTTCGTTGAAGAAACACTACACACAACATTGACACCATCATTAGGACTTGCACAACAACACGTATACGATGACCCACACATTTCTGAACAATCTCGAGCGGTACTCGGGTGAGATAACGATCTCGGCCTTTGATGAGCCTTATTACTTTCATTGTTACCAACAGAAATTAAAACTTCTTGACCTAACTCTTTATCGCTGCATGAAAATTCATGGTACAATGCGCCGGTTATCTGTGGCGCAGGCGGTGAAACTGATTGAGCCAATGGGGAGATTGTTCCAGAATTACGACAAAGACGTTCCCATATCGGACTGTCTTCGACCCTGGGACTTGTATGTCTTGAAATAGGGTCGTCCAAGGTAAAGTCTGAGTCGGAATCACTATTGTAATCTAACAAGACTTCTGGCTCAGTATTTCTGATTCTTAGGTCACAATCTTCATCATCTATCTCAATTGGGAAGACTTGCAATGCATCTTTGGACTCGTAAGTTTCCTTTCCAAAACCACCACTAATTTCTCGGTTAATTACATTATCGAAACCTCTAGTACTTGTAGTACATCTACGAGTCCCAGATGAATTAATCGGCAGATATCGTTGATGTTCGTTAGCTGCTAATGAGTCATCCAAACTCAAGTAATCAAGCGTTAACGACATGCATCCATTTCTAGATTTCGGCAAAACTTCGTCAGGCTTAGAGCTATCAATGGCATTGGATTTAGAGCTTTTCCAAGCCATGTTCTTTGAATTTTCAATACTGTTAGATTTCGAAAGCTTTGTGCTAGATTCTTCATTGGAGGTAGTCTGTTTATTGTAAGCGTCAAACCTCCCCGACCCTTTGAGCTTATCATAATGTACAGCATTTTCAAATTCATCATTTTCATTTGACACATTTTGTGACTCTTTTGGGATCACAGATTTACTAAGGGTATCACAAACATTCAAAGTTTTTAAAGCTTCTTTATTATCAAAACTTGGGGAAGTAGTCAAGCTCTTTTGCTGTTGAAAAAAATGGAGTCGTTTTTCTCGAAGGCTTTCGAGATTGACCCGACTCCTTTCACTTCTTGTGCTAGGCAAATCACACTGATCTAGGCGATGTGACGTGATGTTTTCTGCTGACACATCTGGTTCGAAAGGCTTCAAATTATCACCATTTTTGCAGCTCAAATCTCCGTTTAAATCAGATAATTCTACCTTGCCTTTACTTGTTAAAGGCTTTCTATAATTTATTACCCTTTCTTCGACATCTTTAACGCTCTTCCTTCCTGGATCGACCAGTTTATCGTTGCTTTTTTCATCCTCTTTCGACTCGCTGTGATAATTCAACCCCATTCGCGCAAAACGAAATCTCAAATTTTGCACCCAATTTGATGCGATCGCTTCTGCTTCGCCTTCATCAAAACCCGCCATTTTAAAGCCCAATGTTCGTTCATTAGTTCTATTAAAAAAAAACTCACATCGTTTGCTAGGTTTTGGAGATACTTTGGTTTAAACTTGGTATGTTTTGCAAAACTGTACAGAAATCTGAGTTCTCCATATTTTTTTCCAAACAAACCACTATTTTTCGTTCCCAGGGAAGCGCGTATAAGGGATGAATATTCCGGTAGCAGAGTTCCGGAGGATGAATAATCCGTAGGATGAATGGTTCCGGTGGATAAATTTATTCCGGCAGGAAACGTAATGTGTCTGATTCCAAACTTGAACTGATTGATACAAGGCCGTCGGAAGTAAATCAATATTGGGGGGTGGGGCTCAAGAAATTATCTGAATTGCTTTCACACTTTTCTAGTTCTTTTGCTTATACAAATGGAATTATTGGGGGGGGGGGGGGGGGTCTGAAGCCTCCAGCCCCCACTGAGTGATCTGGGGCATTTGAGCATCAATTTTCCGTTATATGTGGGGCATTTTAGTACTGGAAGTGGGGAATGGATGAGTTGCCGGTTTGCAGTTCCCCCTTTGTTTTGCGCGGCCAATTGCCGCCTGGCGATCCCATAATTCATTGCAACGTAATAACCCCTGGCGATCCCATAATTCATTGCAATGTATTATAGGATCGCCAGGGGGCAATTGGCCGCGCAGAACAAAGGGGGCCTGCGAACCGGCAACTCATCCATTTGACCACAAAATTTTAAAAAAGTTCAAATGCCCAGGGGTATGGTAACAGTATAAACTGATTGGCGCAAGTCAAAATCAAATTCTGAAAATCGTTCAGATATTTTTAATACGTAAATATAACAATAAATCAACAATTAAAATATATTCTAAAACACTGCATTAACACACCATACAAAGTTCTAAACTATTTACAGTGATGAAACTCTTCCAACATTTCAACAACTACTACAGTAACTACGACAGCTCCAGGTTTAAAAAGGTTTACAAGCAGCAGATGGTGGTCAACCTACCATTACCAGAGTAAATTTGTGCACTTGACCACCATCTCCTGTCCTGTAACGATCATACCCATACCCTGAGAGCCAGATGGTACCTCTGGGCCAGGGTATCATACCTAGG